AACAGGCACAGTGAGACCTGAAGGGCTGGGCACTTGGCCAGACAAAGAAACTCTGTTCTGCTTGACCTCTGGTACAGACAGGCTTCCGGTGCTCAATCATTTTCTCCTCTTTGATTTCTACTAGTTCATTCCTAAGACATGCATGGTAATAAACTCATCTGCATCTCAGTTGGGAACTGTTCCTCCCCTACAGAAGAGGGCCACACCCAATCCCACGTCCCCAGGACAGGCAAGCTAACACTGCGCTCCCTGAGCCGGCCAGCCAGCCCGAGACAGGGTAAGAAGCACTCTAGTGCTGCTTGTGCTTTCTCAAGCTTCACCCCAAAGACAGAGAAACAAAGACACTGCTTTGGAACACCTGTTTCTCTTCAAAACCCCAGTTTCTTTTTCTCTCCTTGTTACCAGAATTTCCTAATATATATATACATATATACACACATACACATATATATATATGGAATCTCACTGGGTTCTTTAACTCTTAAAGCGAACGCAGACAGTAAGACTGTAGCATACAGTTGTCTCAAGTCTTCACTGTACCCATTTCTGAGGGACTGAGCAACTGTTCAGAAGATTTAGACTTCAGGGACTCTTCAGAGGAGGTGTGTGGCTCCCTGGCCTCCTGCCACCCCGGATGCCTGGGCTCCAGAAAGAGAGCAAAGGCCCAAGGCACGTCCCACTCGCACAGACTCCCACGCAGTGTCACGGGGCACAGGGGTGTCTGTGCAGCAAAGCTGCGACCCCCCGGCAGGCTCACGCTTCCCACATCAGTGCCCCTGACCCTCGGCCGCCTGTCTCTAACAAAAAAGCCCACATGGGTATTTTGCTGCTTGTACTGTGTCCTTCGGGGGTGGAGGGACACTGGAGTGCTGGTCTAGCTGTGTAAAGAAGGATGTTAACATTTTTCAATCATCTACTAAGTACCAGGCATTACATATGTGTAGAGACCAATACTTCGATTTTACAGAAAAGTCACTAAGAACAGAGAAGTGATCTGTCAAGCCTCACTGTAAACGGGGAAAGCAGGGATTTGCACCCAGACCAGAAGCAACCAATTCAGCTCCCCAGCAATTCTCCGAACACTTTTAACTGCTGCCCTGCCTTCCACCCTCCCCTCCCCAATCCCCTCTCCATCCCAAGAGACTAGATGAGACTGTAAGACAATAGCTCAACCTACCCAAAACCTAGGAGGAAGAAAGTTGAGAAGGGGAAGGGACATATACTTACATATTAATACATACTGTCTTTCTCTTGCTTAGTAATGAACGCATGTACTAACTCTTCACAGAAAGATTGGGCGCATCAACTTACTTCTATTTACCATTTTAACAAAGTTTGTGATCGTAAGGGATTTGGAAGGTCCCACTGGGAGGATGAAAAGGGACCTCTCTTCCATTCAGCTTAAGACCCCTATAGTTGAGAGGGAGGAGACAGGAGTCAGGGACACGACCACCTCTGCCATCTCTGGAGGGGTGTTCAGGGCAATCCCCGAGTCTAGCTCCACCGCAAACTGTCCAAGTCAGACTCAGCAGCCGAATTGCAAACTCCCAGCCCAGGATGGCGGGCATTCACAAACATGGCTGCTGCGTTGGCAGGGCTCCCTTGGGCTGCTTTCGCAGGGAACAAACACGAGTGTCAGTCACCACCCAGGCCCCCACCCCACTCCAAGGTGCAGACACAGGAGTGAGGCTCGGTGGCCACAAAGAGGCCACGGCGGAGGCTGGGCCAGGAGGGGAGAGGAACCCGTGGGGCGGGAGGAGCCAGCTATAAACACACACCCTGGACGCTCACCCAGCAAGCTGAGGAAGAAAGCCAAACTTTTCAAGTTAAGGGCCTAGCTACAACTATAGTGAAACGTGTCTGAGCTTTTACGTGAGCGAATAAGTCAGAATTTCTCCCTTGTATAGGGAGGAAGCAAGAGTTAGAAAAACCTGCCACCATCCTAACCCTTAGGGATGGTCAGTTACCAGAACCTAGTGCTAAGACATGTGAGAAGACAATCCAAAGCATCACCATCAACTGTCTGAAAAGAAGGGGCATCAGGTCCCACAAAACAAAACAGAAGCGGTCCCAACTCCCATAGAGGGGCTGTGGGTCACTCAAGCTCTGGAAGAGGTTGCTCCACCCTAGCATTTCACCCCGGGAGGTTATAAACTAACCTATTTCCTTGGCTTCTCCCCATCTAACCCCGAAGCCGAAGGCACAGTCTCCCAGCATCAGGGAGACATCTTTGAATGTCTGCCATAAATGGCGCTTTCCTAACCAAAGTGATACTAACTTTCCTTTTTCACTTTTGATATACCTACCACACAGCCCTATCCTTGCTGTACCAGCGAGCCATTTCACCCATCTGTCTGGGGAGATGGTCCAATTTGGGTCCTTTCATCATCAATGCTTTCAGCAACTTTGTTCTACTTCCCCTACTGTAATTACTTTTGAATCATCAACACACCCAGCCAGCCTTAAAGCTCTGAGAGCAGAATGCTAAAAAAGAAGAAAAAAAAACCCTGCAAACAACTTCACTAAAAAACCACCCAAGCTAGGAGCCATTTGTATTTTTCTAGAAATTTACTGATTAAGAACTGTCTCAGTACTCCTTCCCCATTTTTCCAAAGGGAGGCTGAAGCCTAGAGATAGGACACTGGAGAGGAGAGAGGGCCAAACTCTTAAAGAGAGAGAAAACATCTGCTCCCCACCCCAACTTTTTTATTTTGTTTTTTTTAGATGCAGGATTTGTTTGTAAAGGATGAAGGAATCAGAAAGTTGGCTTGCTGGCTGCCATTTGCCCAAGCAGTTCAGGAAGAAAGCATGTCTTCTCTGGAATGCAGTCAAATTACAGGGGAGAGAGACCCCCAAGCTGCCGGCTTGAAGATTCAGATTCCTCGAGGGATAAGTTTGAAGGATAAACCACACATACAAAAAAGCAAATTGTAACTCTAAAAATTCAACCAACATCAGCAGCGAAAGACTGTCAAGAAGCCAGCTGCTTGCTTTCTGCTATCCTCTTCCCCACCACTTGCCCTGGTGGGTGAAACTTCCAGCTTTGGTTGGTAAGCTGTCTCTTCAGCAGTCCAGCTTTCCCCCATTCCTGGTGTGGTCCTCTCCCTGGGAGGGCACCTTCCTGAGCCCTTACAGGAGGGGACGACCAGAGTGGGTCCAGGGCAATTCTTCCCCTTCTCATCAACACTGCCCTCTCTGGAATCCTCCATCTACACATTTCTTCATTTTTGGCTAGCACTTGGAGTCTTTTCCTCAGATGAGGTTGGGAAGAGAGCGGCAACAGTCAGGAGTGAAGTTATAAAAAACAGAAAGTCTCCCCTCTTCAGCCCTCAGCACAGCTGAGCAGCCAGAGGAGGAGTGAAGCTGAAGCCTGGTTAGTGATGTGGCCAGGAGGGCAGGGAGTCAGGGGCTCTGGGATCTGAGAAGGCAAGGCTTATTTAAGTAGGGCCAGCTGATGCAGGAAGCACGCACTGCCTCCCGCCCCCCAGCATTTCACCAGAGGAATCAGGGAATGGTGAAACCACCAGCCCAGCTTTTTAGCCTCTAGGCAAGTTGGGGATGCTCCTTGGGACCAGGAACCCCCGAAATAAGTGATCTGCTGACTAATGTTGCCTAACAGGGGGCTCTGGGGCTACACCGAGGCCCCAGGGCTGGCCCCTCACAAGGCACTGGGCCTCAGTATGTCCAACTGCAGCACTGGGCCTTTTTTGCCCTGTTCTGGGGGATCGAGGGATGAGCAGGGACGCTCCGAATTTGGTGCCAAGATCGTGAGCTCCCCAGCCTACCCAGGCCAGGTGGCCTCAGTCTGGGAAGTTCTCCAAAAAAAAAAAAAAGACGCTAGTCCTTATTCCCCGCGGAAATTCTGTCCGCTCTTCCACACACATTCCTCAAGGCCCGAAGAGGAACGTGGGGGAGGGGGAAAGAGTTTCGGGGCCTTCTCCAGGACCAAACTCAAAGATCCCACCCTCGAACCCCCACCTTACCCGTCCCTAGGAAGGGCCTCGGCCCAATCACGGTCCAGTCCCCAAACCCACACCCAGAGAGGGCCCGAGACCCCCCTCGTATCTCCCCGTGACCCGCAGGAAGGCGGGGGCCGCTAGCCGCTGCCCACCGAGAACTCGCACTTTTTCGCAGCGCGATTCAGAAACACGCCGGGTCTGATGCCATCCGGCGAATTATGTAACCAGGGACACCGTTCTCGGGCTAAACAAACGCGGCTCTGTGTGTGTGGCGGCGGCCCCGGGGAAGCGCACTGGGGCAGGGAGGGGCTCCGGTCGGGCCTTGGGGTCGCGCTTGTTTGCTCAGCGAAAGCGGCAGGAGGCCGCCCGGCGAAAGCCCCGCGCGCCGAGGTCCCTGGCCCAGCAAACGGCCGCGGGCCGACCAGGTCCGGTCAGCCAGGGCTCGGCCCCTCCCCCACCGCGGCCGCCCCCGCCTCCGGGCGGTGAACTTGGTCCCAAGTCCCGCCGGACGCCGTCACCGCCCGCTGCCTGAGCAACCCCGAGCTTTGGCGGGGGTGAGGGGGGTGAGGGGCTGGGGGGTGGGGCTGGGAAGTGCTGGACTCCAGTCCCGGCTCCTTTCTAGCCCGAGACCCCCTCTTTCCCCTTCCCTCCCCAGTCCTTGTAGTCCTGGGGCAGCCGCGCGCTCCGGTGCGGGAAAGTGACGACCCCACCCCCTAACTCTGGAAAGGATGGACGCGAGGAGGCTCGCGCTTCGAGCGCTCACCCCTTAGTCTCTCTGCCCGGAGAGGGGGGTGCAGAAAGGGGTGACAGCTGCGCGGATGACGCCCCTCCCCCTAGGGCGCAGGGAGCCCGGGCCCCGGCGCAGCCCTCTGCCGGGTCTGAGTGCGCACCAGGACGCAGGGGCGGACGGAGCGGGGGATCCGGTCAGAATCGCCCACTCTGAGCCCCGGGAGGTCAGGGGCCGAGACTCGGGTTCGCCGCTGTGCTAGCCCCCTCCCCGCCCGGGGGCGACGCAAAGTTTTGGGAAGTTGCTGCCCCTACCTTGCTTGGTGAGCACCAGGGCGTCTTCCCTCCGCGCCTGGGTGATGATGGAGCCGTGTTCCATCTAACAATCCCGCGGGCCCGGGCTGGCTGGGCGGGAGGACGCGCGGGCGCACAGGCTGGGCTGGGCTGGGCTGGGGGGCCTGGGCGGGGGCCCGCTCCGGCTCAGGCTCCGGCTCCCGAGACTCCGACTCCCACTGCTGTTCACATCCCGGCTCTTGTTCCCTCCCTGGGCCGGGAAGGGAGGCGGCCTGTATGGAGAGCGGGCGACCCGGGTAGCGGCTCTCCCGGGTGCCCCCAGCCCCGATCCCCCGGCGGCAGCTCCGGGCTCCTCAGTTTGGGTCCAACATGGAGAATCCGGAGCGAAAACAAGAGGAGGAAATGGGACACGGGGCGGTTTCCAGGCTCCCCCCTCCCCTCCGTACTCCAGATAAACAACCCGCGGCTGCAGCGCCCACCCCCGCGCGCCTCCAGGCTCTGGACCCGGCCTCTCTACAGCCTGCAGGCGCTTCCCGCTTCGGGGCACAGTCCTAGGCCCCGGGCCCCTCCACCTGTGAGCCGCCGGGGCTGCGAAACATCCGGAGCTTTGCAGTTTTGTTACGGAAAAAGCGAATCCCCGAGGGGGGTGGGGTGGCGGGCGGGTTGGCTGGCGGGGGAGACTTGAAACCGCTCCGGCATTCCGATTGGTCCTCTCCGAGAAAAGGGGCGGGGCCCCTCCTTACTATGCGGTGCGAGGACCCAACAACATTCCAGACGTTAAGGCCACGCCCCGGGCCACTCCCCCCTCGTCGGGCTGCGGCCTCCCAGTCTTCTCGGCCACACCCCCTTCCCAACTACTTAAAAGGACACTCCAAAGCTCACGTTTCTCTCTTCTGTACCGGGGTGTTCCTGTGTGGGTGTCTCTACCCGCTTACAGTGGAATGGTTGCGCCCTTCGGGTAGCCAAGCAAGCCTCCAAGCCTAAGTCAGGTCGGACCAGGATGATAGGCTTCGGGCGGTTGTTTTACTTCCTGATCGGCGCTCGAATTGCCCTCCCCGCCTCCCCCCACCCCCCCGACCCCGTTTCACGTAAGAGTACAACCACCGAAACCAGAAAGGGATACGTGTGTGTGGTGTGTGTGAGTAGGCCGAGGACTTTAAGAGTATCAGAGCTGGAACTGACCTCGGGATGGTCTGACTCCCAACACAACAAATGAGACCTAAGGAGCCAGGCTTTGCTCAAAGCCTTTCACTTACTCCCATTTAAGGCTTCTTCCCTTCACCCCCTCCTCTCAATCCACCCCTGGGCGCTTCGCTCCCCCTCCCCCACAGTACCAGTCTCAGTTTGGATGGATAGAAGTCTCTAAGCTTAAAGCTTCAACTCTGTGGACTCTTAACTGCCCTCCCTCCGTGGTTTTAGGCCCCAGGCGCACTCCTGCTGGCTGTGACTCCTGGACTCAAGATAGTGGTTGAGGGATGTACATTTGTTCCCAAGAAGTGGGAACTCCAGAAAGGCAAATTTCAGTTCAACATCAGGTCTTCTCCAGTGAGCTACAGCTATCCACAGGTGACATGGGCGCCTTGGGAGGACTGGAGCTGTTTAAGTCAAGGCTGGGAGAGTTGGATGTCCAGTGAGACTGCATTGGGTGACTTCTGAGCTACTTCCAACCTCCATAGTTCATGATGAATGAAACTCAGACTGTCAAGGAGAAAACTCTCCGGAAGATCAGGATTTCTCTGGCCCCTGGGAGGTTGGGGCAGCTGATGGCCTTCCTGCTGTAGTTCCCATTGCCCAATATGCACCAGGTCTCACTGGGGGTTGCCGGCCAAGCAGGTCACATCTTAAACTTGCTCCCCATGAGGACAGGTGAGCTTGTGATGCATATGCGCCTGAGTGCCTTAACAGTGCTCATGCGTACCTGTTCCTTCTGTTCCTACACATACATACACAAAACCTTTTTATATAACACTTTTAATGGAAATGCAGTTTTTCCAAAGTGAAAGCTGGTACAGAAGATCTGAATGATGCTTATGTAACTTTAAACACTGAGTTTGGGTAGATCCTAATTCATTAAAAGAGGGGGAAAGGGAGGAGTTCTCATGTATTTACCTCCCACCATTGTGAAAAAGGTCATAAAAACCTTAAAAGATCCTTAAGGTAAAACTTTTGATAGGTTGCTAGGGGGCCTTTTGGGCCCTGCCCCCACCCTCTTGTGGGGAATTCAGCTGCAGCTAGAGGAGGGAGAGTGCAGGCAGAAGCTGAGGACAGAGGATTGAGGGGCGCCCGCCCCGCCCACTCTCACCCCCAACACTCCCTTCCTCCTGCTCTCTAGTGTTAGACAAGAGACTTCACCTCTCTACACTGTCATTTCCTCATTCATGGAGACAATCCCTTTACAAAGTACTTTAACATACATTTTCTGTCATGTTGGATCTCTTACTGTTTTGAGGTTGACAGAGCAGATATGCCCATTTTGTAGACAAGGAAACAGGGTCTGGAAAGATTAACTGACTCACCTAAGGTCTCATAGCTTGTTAAGAAGAGGAGGCAGGACTAGAAGTTTTTTTTTTTTTGGCCAGGGCCAGGCTGCTTTCAGGATCCTAGTTTCCTGACCAGGGATGGAACCTGGGTCCAGAGCAGTGAAGTGTCAAGGCCTAACCACTGGACTGCCAAGTAACTCCCTAGAAGTTGTCTTTAGACTTTTAAGACTTGAATCTTAACACTTTACCATTGTTCTTTTCCTATCGATAGGATGGAAGAGATACCAGAATCTAGTCACTGTTTTTTCCATTTCTTCTTTTTCTTTCTTCCTTCCTTTTTTTTTTTCCCCCTTGTTACTGTCTTTTCTTATTAAGAACTCTGACTGCATCACCTCCTCTGGGAAACCCTCCCAGATACCTACTTTCACACCAGGGCTTTATAGCCTCTTACATACTCTCTCAGAGCACTTAGCATCATTTCTTGCAGATAGTTTGCTTATGCCTTCCCCACCAGCAGATGGATTAAAACTGTATTGTTCATTTTAGATCTAGCATAGTGCCCGACACAGAGCAGGCAGCCTTTCTTTCTGTATTTGCTGTGAGTCTATGTCTTAACTAGTGCTCTGGACCAGGGGTTCAGTGACCCACAGCAAGAAACATATTCTGAACCATGAGATAACTGAAACAAAAGCTTCTTGGGATAATACTTATCCTTGCTATGTGTGTGCACTATGATACTTTCTATTTATTCTACTTTTTTTTTTTTAAGAGGTTGGCCATGGTTTCATGACCCATTACCAGGTTGTGGCCAACAGTTGGAGGCACACTGCTTTCATCTCTGTGTGCTGAGGATGCCTTCTAAGTGCAGGGCTCTTGCTGTCCCCGAAGGATATAGAGGAGATGGCCCTCAAGTACCTCTTGCTCTGAGGTCAAAGATAGTTTCATTTATAAGAAGACATTCAGAGACCTAAGGCTAGAGGCACAGCGGTGCAGAAAGAACCCAGGGTGGAGGCGTTAGATGAGGGAAGGTCCCCAGGAGGCGTGGTAAGGACCTCTGTGCCTCCAGAAGCTACGACGGCAGTGGCAGCTTTCCTGGAGCCTGGAACACAGGCAGGCGCCTGGACTCTTGATGCCATGGGGTTCTCACTGCTCTGTCCTCAGATTTAAGGTCCCTGAGCCAGACAGCTCTCGGGGGTCATGATGAGCATCTTTCCTACAGTTAAGGGTGTCCGGGACGTGAGAGGCCTCACTTCTGCCTCAAACCGTCTCATAACCTACCGCCAGGCCTTGGGCCAGTTGCTGGCTGTGTGAATTTGGGTGGCCCCATTTAATTAGGCTCAAGGATGCTAGCTGAGGCCAGGGCTCTCTAGGCCTAACAATTCTCCCAAGAGAAAGCTGGCGAACTGTCTCAGGTCACTTACCTGTTTCTTCCCTTTATCTCAATTTTACTTCCCCCGGAAGGCTGGGGAGAGGCAATCTGGAAGCAACAGAATCTTAATGCCCCCACCCCCTCCCCAAGTGCAAGGTGTGGGGTAGTAAGGCTGGGGCCCCAAGGAGTCCCTCCCCGTCTGTCTCTCGTGGCTCCCTGGGTTGGCCTGGGTGTTCCTGAGCCAGGGCTGGGAAAGGGAAACAGCTGGAGAAGTTTCCTCTATGGGAGGGGCACACTCGTTCCAGAACTCTGCCCCTTTCCCCACAGAAAATGAGCACAGGGTTGGGTCAAGGAAGACCTTTCTTGACCCTCTGATGTCACTGTTCCATTAAAATGAAAAATTTTTTTTTTTTTACCAAATGGACCACATCCATTTTCGTGCTTTCTCTGATGGTTTCTTGCAGTATCTCGGTTCCCATTTTGTACTGTGACTGAGAAGGTGGGAATCCCGGCACCAGGGTTGCAGAGCCCTGTGGCCTCCTGACCCTGGCTGTTCCAGGCAAGGTCCTGGGGGTGAAGTGGGGTGGGTTAAAGATCTGGTGACAGTGACTAAACATGTGGGTGATGCCACATGTAGGATCTGGGGAGGCGAGGAGGAGCCAGTGGTAGTGGGTATACTTTCTATGGAGAGAAGCCTGGGGAACCTCACTGGAGCTTCAGATGGGGATGATGCATTCTGCCAGGTGCAGGTGTATTCATCATCCCAACCCTATTACTTTGTTATTGAATCTCTTGATTTAGTTTCCTCATCTTAAAATGGGAATAACCAATAGTATTACTTCACAGGTTACTGTGAGAATTAAATAAGATAATACGGGAGGCACCAAGTGCCTGATACACTGGAGGTGCTCAATAAATATGGCTCTCCTCATCAACCTTGCCTTCTGCTTCCATCATCCGCCCAGTTCCCCAGGCCAGGAACCTGAGGTCACCCAAGACACCTCCTCCCCACTCCTCCCCACTCCCCGATCCCTCCTGAAGCCAAGTGGCTCTTCCCCTCAAGTATTTGTCAAGCCTTTTCATTCTTCCGGTTCCCACTGCTGCTATCAGGGATGAGGCTGGCAACAGGCTCCTAATCAAGCTCTCTCCTGCTCTAGGGCCCGCATCCAAATCCATCCCCAGTTCTCCTGGAAGATGCAAATCTGATCCTGGCTACATGAAATGATTCAGCAGTTCCCCGGGACTTGGAGAACAAGCTCAGATGCCTGGCTCTGGCTCCTGGTGGCTCACCCGCCCCGTTGCTCACACACCTTCCTACACTCCCTGGTGCTTCTGTCCCGAAGAAGGGGTCACCTGTGGTTCTCTGGCACCCTGGGCTTCCATGCTTTTGCACCTGCGGCTCTTTCCGTCTGGAGGCCCTACCCCCTCCGGGAAGCGATGATTCCTCATCCTTTTAAAATACAATTCAAGTGCCGCCTCTTCCTCAAACCCTCCCGGGTCCCAGCTGGACTGAGATGTGCTCAGCGTATTTCTTTGTGCTCCAGCATTTTCATTCTGCTTTACTTGACTGTCGTCCCTGCTCCAGTGTAAGCTTCTTGAGGGCAGACGCTGTCTTTTTCCTTCCACACCCCTCATGCCCTCGCAGTGGGCTGCTGGAAGCCAGTCCGGTGGGCACTCTCCTCCCTGGGCACTGCGGGTCTCCCGGGCCACTGAGCCAGGGGAGCCAGGAGGCAGGACACCACGCTCCTGGACACTGTCTGCGCCACCCAGGACGGCGAGTCCGAGACCCAGAGCGGAGCTTCGGTGCTTGACCGCCAGCACAGGCACAGGAGTCTGGGCCCAGGGAGTCTGCTCACGTCCAGCCCGGGCTGTGCAAAGGAGGCCCGGAGCCGATTGAGGCTTGGTGGGACCGACAGACGCAGCTGGCCAGGGCATTCCGAAGGGCTCGTGGCGGGCAGGAACCCGCAGCAGAGTGGACCCTTGACTTTCCCACCCCACGGGCAGGGTGCGAGCGTGTCAGATGAGGACAAAGGGAACTATTTGGGGCTCGAGCCGCGGGGATGGCGGCCTTTCTGAATCCCGGTTCCTAGGGAGCACAGCCTCCCCCTCCCCCCACTAGTCCCGGAAGCCACGTGACCTGCGCCCCCAGGAGCCACTAATCGCCCGTCCCCGTCCCTTCTCCTAAACAGGGAAGCGACAGGAGCAGATCGAGTTTCTCGGCCCGTATTTACAGGTTTCCTGGACGAAGCCAAACCGTCTACCTCCTTGCCTCATTCCCCCTGCGCGCGCGTCGGGGGAAAAAAGGGCCCCCTCCCGCGCCCCACCCCCAGCCCTCCAGGCCTCCCAGCCGCGGGTGCGGCCCCTTTCTCTTCCCTCCCTCCGCCGCAGCTCGGCCGGCCCCTCCGGGGGCGACGCTGAGGTCGCCGCATTCCAAACCCCGGGCGGCCCTTTGAAGTCACGTGGTGTGATGGGGGTGGGGCGGCAGGACGCCCCTGACCCAGGCCTGCGACCTGCAGGCCTCGCAGTGAGGCGAATTCTCCAGCCTGCTCCCCAGACCTCGTGGGAGTGAGGCAAGGCGGATATTTACTCCCCAGCACCTACTGTGTGCCTGGCCTAGGCTGAGCACTCATGCTTCTTACCTCCAGGCCTTTCTGGACCGGGCTGGGGGCTCACACCTTTCCCGATGGATATACTGACCCTGATGCCGGGAAGGATTGAGGGCAAGAGGAGAAGGGGACGACAGAGGGCGAGACGGTTGGATGGCATTACCGACTCGAGGGACATGAGTTTGATCTAACTCCAGGAGATGGTGAAGGACAGGGAAGCCTGGTGTGCTGCAGTTCATGGGGTCGCAGAGAGTCGGACACGACTGAGCAGTTGAACAGTACTGGCTGGGAGTCACCGAGGCAGAATGGAGGGGGTGGGGTAGAGCCAATCACTTAGTTTATGCAAAGACGGACCTTTGTCAGGCTGAAGCTAAGAGAAGACCGTGCCCCTCTGTTTACCCGGGGACCCAGACGTGTCTCTCGGTGGGTAAGATGACCTGGAGGAGGGCATGGCAACCCACTCCAGGGTTCTTGCCTGGAAAATCCCATAGACAGAGGAGCCTCGCAGGCTATAGTCACAGTCAGGCACGACTGAAGCGACTTGGCACGGCAGGCAGACCTCTGAGACCTGGGTTTCAGGCTCCGCGACAAGAAAACTAAGAGGGAGTTGATTTCCTCCTGGGTTGGGCAGACGGTCTCTAAGCTGCTCCCTCTATTTTAGTATGAACTGGGTTAGAAATTGCCTTTACTGGAGCTGAACCTGGTCACCGTGAAGGGGCCTTGACTCCTTTATGGGTTCAAGGCAGGAGTGAGGTTGAGGCACTGGCCACAGCCAGCTTGCCTGAGAAGTTTGATCTTACAGGACAGGGAGAGTACAGGGGATAGAGTGGAGATGACAGAAGGGTGGCAGGTTTTGGATGGGGGCGGGAGGTCTGCATTTGAATATTTATAACTCAGATCTGAACCCTTACTAAATGTGTCATGTATATTAATATTTATCCATTTGCATGATCATTCACTATTTTACCAGGAACAGGCCCTGACCTGGAACTGGAGGGATTAAGACTGAGTTCCTGTCTTTGAGCTTACAGTCTAGTGGGAAAGCTAAACAAGTGAGGGGGATTTGCAGTGCAGGGAACCAAAGCGCGACAGTGAGGACCAGACTCACAGCTGTAGGATAACACAGAGGGGGAGCGTTTAGCCTCAGACTTGGTTGGGAAGGAGGATGGCTATGGAATAAGTGTTATCTCAACTGAGGCTTGAAATTTAAACTGTCCTTAATCTGGGACTTCCCTGGTGGTCCAGTGGCTAAGACTCCATACTCCCAGTGCAGGGGCTGGAGTTTGATTACTGGTCAGAGAGGTAGATCTCACATGCTACAACTAAAGATCTCATATGTCACAATTAAAAAAAAAAAGATGCCACGTGCCACAACCAAGAGCTGGCGCAGCCAAATAATAAATATTAAAAAATCTTTTACCTGTTGCAGTGAGAGTGGGTGAGAGTGGAATAGGAAAGAATAGCCTTCCAGATCGAGGATACAGTGCACGCAAAGGCCCAGAAGCAGGCTCAGTTGGGCTGGAGTATAGCCATCCTGTGGATGGTGCGCAGAACAGGAAGAGATGGAGGGAGTGCTTCTGGGAGAAGAAGAGGGCTGAGCCTATGAATAATGCCCATTTCGGGGCGGGGGTGGGGGGGCGGGATGAGAACGGGAGACCCCTGGTCCTCTGAGGCTACAACAGGGTCCCTCAGGCACTCTGTCTTGGAGGATGTGACACTTCCTTTTGCAGTTGCTTTATAAAAGTAATATTTATTTTCATCGAGCTAATACATACACATTGCTTACAAACCAAATCCTTCTAAAGGGCTTGTAATAAAAACAGAAGTCCTACTGGCCTTTCTCCCAAGCTTTATACTCCCCAGGGGCAACCACTTTCAACTCGTTTGGCCGTTTCTTCTGGAATTTCCTTCCTTATTTCTAAATAACATGTGCACTGCCGTTCTGGGTTCATTTATCTAATTTGTTCACTCCTTGTCTTGGTAGGTGAGGGTTCTGATTCTCTTCCTCTCTACCCACCCCCATTATGTTTATATCACAATTTATGGTTAAATCCATGTTCAGTGATCTCATTATTGACTTTGAAAATGTTGTTTACTTTGGAGGCAAATATGCTGGTTTCATTTCCTTTTCTAATATAACTTTTTGTTGTGTGCTCTGTTTACATTTCCTTTCTTATACAACTTTCTTGTTTTTCCTGGAGTTAATTGCCTCATTTTTTTGTTTGCTTGATTTTCTTTGAATCTCTGGCTCTGTCTTCCCACTCCCTCCAATGGTTCTGTAAAACACCTTCTCAGTACAGTTTTGCATATGGCCAGACCTGTCATATAATCTTATTGGTTCTGTTTCGTTTCTCCTTGGAGACATCTGTCCTGTGGCACCCCCTCCTTCTGCCTTTCTCTGGATGCTTTGCTCTCAAGTCTGGCAGCACACCTGTCCCCCCGGGACTGCCCATGACTGGTGCTCAAGAATCCACGTTGCCCTTCCCTCTTTCAGGGACTGTGTCTTAGTCTTCCTCAGTTTATTTCCTTTTGAATGAAGCACATCCTTCAGTTACTTCCTGAGAAAGAATGCCTAGGCGGTAATATTTTAGAGACTTGATCCTTACCTGAAATGGCTTTCTCCCACCTTCATTCTTCTTCTTTTTTTTTTTTAGTGCATCTGTGCTGCCTGAGCTTTTATTTTTTTTAATATTTATTTATTTATATTTATTTGGCTATGCTGGGTCTTAGTTGTGACACACAGGATCTTAGGATCGTCGATCTTCATTTTGGGATTCTAGTTCTCCGTCCAGGGATGGAACCTGGACCCCTTGTATTAGGAGCACAGAGTTTTCACCACTGAACCAGCAGGGAAGTCTCCCACCTTTACTCCTGATGATTACTTTTTGCTGGGTATAGAATTTTAGGTTGAAAATCATGTTCCTTCAAAATTTTGAAAATGCTCCTTCCTTATCTTGCAGACTCTGATTTTAGAGCTGAGAAATCTCACCCTATTTTGATTTTCGAGTCTTTGAATTCACCTCCCCCATGCCTACTTTTAGGACTTTCTCTGTTATTCCTAATATATTAAAAGATCACAATTTATCAGCATGGCTCATTTTTCATGGCACTTGATAGATCTTTTTAATCTAACCGTGGCTTTCAAAATGTGGGCCCCAGACCAGCACTACTAGCATCACCTGTGAGAAATATTAGATATGTTAGAAAGGCAAATTCTGAGCCCCACCTCACATCTACTGAGTCAGAAACTCTGGTGATAGGTCCCAGCAAACTGTCGTTTGTTGTTGTTTTTATTGAGGAATAATTGACATATAATGTCATATTAGTTCCAGGTATATGTCATAATGATTTGATATTTGTATACATTATGAAATGATCACCACGGTAAGTCTGGTTAACATCAGTGACCATTGTTATTGTTTTTCAGTTGCTAAGTCGTGTCCAACTCTGAGACTCCGTGGGCTGCAGCATGCCAGGCTTCCCTGTCCTTCACTATCTCCTGGAGTTTGCTCAAATTCATGTCCGTTGAGTTGGTGATGCTATTTAGCCATCTCATCCTCTGCCACCCTTTTCTCCTTTTGCCTTCAATTCTCTCAGCATCAGGGTCTTTTCGAATGAGTTGGATCTTTGCATCAGGTGGCCAAAATATTGGAGCTTCAGCTTCAGCATTAGTCCTTCCAATGAATATTCAGGGTTGATTTTCTTTAGGATTGACTGGTTTGATCTCCTTGCTGTCTGAGGGACTCTCGATAATCTCCAGCACCACAATTCAAAAGCATCAATTCTTTGGTGCTCAGTCTTCTTTATGGTCCAATGCTCACGTCCATATATGACTACTGGAAAGACCATAGCTTTGACTATATGGACGTTTGTCTGCAAAGTGATGTCTCTGCTTTTTAATACACTATTTAAGTCTGTCATAGCTTTCCTTCTAAGAAACAAGCTGCAGTCACCGTCCACAGTGATTTTGGAGCCCAATAACATAAAATCTGTGACTGCTTCCACTTTCCTCCCTTCTGTTTGCCATGAAGTCACGGGACCACATGCCACGATCTTAGTTTTTTGAATGTTGAGTTTTAAGCCAACTTTTTCACTCTCCTCTTTCACCTTCATCAAGAGGTTTTTTAGTTCTTCTTCACTTTCTGCCATTAGAGGGGTATCATCTGCATATCCAAATATGTTGATATTTCTCCTGCAGTCTTGATTCCAGCTTGTGGTTCATCCAGCCTGGCATTTCCTATGATGTACTCTGAATATAAGTTAAATAAGCATGGTGGCAATATACAGCCTTGTTGTACCCCGTTCTGAATTTTGAAGCAGTCAGTTGTTCCATGTCCAGTTCTAACTGTTGCTTCTTGACCCACATATAGGATTCTCAGGAGACAGGTAAGGTGCTCTGGTATCCCCATCTCTTTAAGAATTTTCCACAGTTTGTTGTGATCCACACAGTCAAAGGCTTTAGTATAGTCAATGAAGCAGAAGTAGATGTTTTTCTGGAATTCCTTTGCTTTCTCTTTGATCCGATGGATGTTGGCAGTTTGATCTCTGATTCCTCTGCCTTTTCTAAACCCAGGTTGTACATCTGAAAGTTCTCAGTTTATGTACTGCTGAGGCCTAGCTTGAAGGATTTTGAGCATTACCTTACTAGCATGTAAAGTGAACACAATTGTTCAGTAGTTTGAACATTCTTTGGCATTGCTCTTTTTTGGGATTGGAATGAAAACTGACCTTTTCCAGTCCTGTGGCCACTGCTGAGTTTTCCAAATTTGCTGGCATAGTGAGTGCAGCACTTTTACAGCATCATCTTTTAGAATTTTAAATAGCTCAGCTGAAATTCCATCACCTCCACTACCATTTTTTTGTAGTAGTGCTTCCTAAGGCCCACTTGACTTCACACTCCAGGATGTCTGGCTCTCGGTGAGTGACCACACCATCATGGTTATCCTGGTCATTAAGACGTTTT